TCCTATGGGCTGACTAATCTTGGAATGTGTCTACTAGGAGTTTGCTGGCTACTCCACTTTTATGAAACACATTAATGTCATCATGTGAACCTGTTACCTAATGTCTCAAACTTGAACCTTAAAATTTGCATCTCTCCATAATTTCATTATGGTTGGATATTAAATTAGCAATCATTGAAATAATAAGAATAAATCTGTCTATAAATATATATATATATATATAGTTTCCTTTCTGCTGTGTGTAAATCATTTATTTTAGTTCCATATACACAGTAGGCCTGTAAATGCATTTAGAAAACTGCAATTTTCATTTTACTTGTAAGAATGGCCATCATAAAAGTGCTAGCTGAATAAACCTGGGTTGATATTTTATACTCTTTATTGCTTGTCTTCTGTGTGATTTTCTAGCCTTCAGACTCAATCTCATTTTGAAAGTGTGTTACAACCTCTTAGGATTATGAAACGTGAATATGAGTGTGTGTGTGTGATAGTGAAGATACACATCAGTACAGTGCCTGAGAATTCAGCTGTTGTGTGTTTCACACACATATAAGCAACGTAGTCACGACACATTCCTGATGATTTTACAGTCGCCATGGAAACGGGTGTACGTATAGCACACTGTAGGCCATGAGTGAGAACAGCTATGAGTCACGAGTTACGAATTATGTTTTGAAGTAGTTGTGTGTTTATTTTTGTGAGTAATCAATCAGCAGTGCTCTATTAGTGCAGGAGTAATGTGTCATTGATGGTTATATTATTTTAGGTTGGTTGTCTGTACACCTGGGCTAATGACACATAAGGATGTCAGAGATGAAAAAAATTAGAAATTCTTTAAGAATTTGGTTGAAAATGCAGAAGTCAAGTTCTTAAGGCAAAAACATTTCATAAAAATGCTTCATAGGTTTCTGAAAAATATCTGGGGTTACTTGTTTTTTTGCTCTATAAGTCAAACAAAAAATAACTAAATTAATTTTAATTCAGAACTTGAAAACATGATACCTCTAGTGGAGATCCAGTGGTCATCACACATCTCGGGCGAGTTCGTGGCCGTATTCTGGATAAAGCTCATGTGTTTTATGGGATTCCGTATGCAGACTCTCCTGTCTGTGGGGGACAAACGCTGGGCTCCTCCTTCACCCGTGTCACCTAGGACGTAAACGTATGACGCCACATTTCCCCGTCCTGCATACATGCAGGTGTGTGCTGGGGAGTTCTCTCGGCTGTGTCCTCCTAAGGTATGAAACATTCCAATCATGACACACATTTTCAAACCATCCACAAAAAAACAGTGCATTCAGACAATTATAGTATATATTACATCCTTATCTTTTATGTTATGATGAATGGCTGGAGCACCAATAAGAAATTCAGTGTTACATATTTCTAAATATTACTAAAAACTGTAATAGTATCTCAATAATACTCAAATTAATTGGAATAAAAATAAATAATCAAATAAGCTAAACAGAAATAAAAAAATACTAATAAAAATGCCAAAAGCATAAAATTGCTACAAATTAAAAATTATTACAAAAAAAATTTAATAAAAACAAATAAATAAATATGAATACATATGATGAATGATTTTATTATGTGAACAAAAAAAAGCATACAGAGTGAAATATGGTTATCTGGGACAACAGTCCAATATATAATTTAGTGAACAATTAATAAAAATATCTGACTGCAGAATGATGCGGCTGGCCAGATTCCAGGGAGCCATAACACATATATCACACATAAACATCATGTACAAACACTGAAATAAACTAAAAACGAATTCTGTGCTTTTGAAGGTTCTAAGATCATCAACCCATTTTGTTTCCTGTAGGTCTTTGAGACATGGGGGCCGTTCATTGATGGAGAGCTGATCCAGGAACAGCCAATCACAGCCTTCCAAACAGGCCACTGGCAGAGAGTTACAAGCCTGTTATACTAGGTTTGTGCTCCAACAACATCAGCATATTCTGGGTTAAACATTAGCTAAGCTGTCACATGCTGTTGATTACCACAGAACATTATTGCTGTGGGATGAATTTAAACAAGTCTTACTTTTTATTTAAAGGAATAGCTCACCCAAAAATGAACATTTGCTGAAAATGTACTCACCCTTTGGTTATCCAAGATAGATGATTTTGTTTCTTCATCAGAACAGATTAGGAGAAATGTAGCATTACCTGTACATCACTTGCTCACCAATGGGTCCTCTGCAGTGAATGGGTGCCGTCAAAATGAGAGTCCAAAGAGCTGATAAAAACATCACAATAATTCACAAGTAATCCACACCACTCCAGTCCATCAATTAACATCTTATGAAATAAAAAGCTGTGTGTTTGTAAGAAACAAATCAATAGTTAGGACCTTTTTAACATCAAACCGTTCAAGCTTCTGGCTAAAATAGGAGTCCTCATCCATAATATTGCTTTCTTCAGTGAAAAAGTCGTCTCGTCTGAATCAGGAGAGAAATATGCACAGATGAAGCACTGTTTACAAGCGGAAACAGTCCAAAACAGTTCTAAATAAATATGTAGGTGGATTTTAAGTGATTTTCTGAGGACAATGGGGGATTGACTTTTTCACTGGAGGAAACATTATGGAATATGGACTCGTATTTTGGCCAGAAGTGATGGTTTAAAGTTTAAAAAGTCTTAATGATGGAAGTGTTTATTACAGACACCCAGCTTTTCGCTTCACAAGATGTTAACTGATGGACTGGAGTGGTGTGGATTACTTGTGGATTACTGTGATGTTTTTATCAGCTGTTTGGACTCTCATTCTGACGGCACCCATTCACTGCAGAGAATCCATTGATGAGCAAGTGATGGAATGCTACATTTCTACAATCACGTTCCAACGAAGAAACAAACTCATCTCGAATGGTTTGAGGGTGAGTACATTTTCAGCAAATTGTCATTTTTTCTTTTAGCCTGGAATATTCTGTAAGGTTAGCATTGTTTACCTCTGTCAGCTCTCATCTGGCCTGTCCTATAGGTACAACCTCTGAGGAAGGCGTGACCTTTGTGTACGGCGTTTTCAACCACTCCATATCAATGCTGAAATGTGTGCTCTACACTGCTGCCATTTTAAGCAACATGCGCTTAAAATTCTGCACAAATACATTCCTTTCTACCAAAACCAGGACAGAAGAGTGATGCTTTCCCAAGTAAGACATCAGTATTCTTCAGATAAAACAACTGCAAGACAAACAGCACAAAATTAAAGTTAGGCATTATGTGTCCTTACACTTCTTTAGCTTATAAAATTGGCCTGTTTTGCAGATTGTCACGGATTTTAGTGTCAACGGTCTGCTCATTCTATAGTGAGAGTCGGTGGAGCCATTTGGCTCTATGTATTTGACCACGCTCCATCTGGTCACAACATCTGGGCGTGGCTTCCGTTCTGCTACAATCATACCTGCCATGGGGCAGAGCTTCCCTTTCTCTTTGACTCCGCCCCCAGCACTAACTTCACACTTCAAGAGACCCTTCTGGCCAATCAGATGGCGTGTTACTGGGGAACGTTTGCCCACATGGGGGACCCAAACTCTCGACATGAACAGATGCACTTCTGCACACAGCCGAGGCTGCCTGTTTGGCCACGGTACACGGCTATAGAGGGCTGGCCCATCCTGAACCTGACTCTACAGTCACACCCACAACACGGGGACAGGGACCATTTCTGTGACTTCTGGGATCGGCTGGACATCTATTGAGGGGAGGAGATTGAGCTGGAGGAAAGACATGCAAGATCAGGGCTCTAACAATTTTGATATACCCTTTGCTATTCATTAACAATTTTGCTTTTTTTTTTTTTTTTATTAAAATCAAATTTTTTATATATAATCAGTGACTGGGCCAGTATTATAACAAGATATTATTTCTAAAGTACATTACGATTAAAAAGTTAGGAGTTGGTCAATTTTTTTCATGTTTTTGAAAAGTCAAAAATACAGTAAAAACAGTGATATTGTATAAATATTATAACAATAAAAAAACTGTTTTCTAATTTAATATATTAAAAAAATGATTCCTGTGATACAAAGCTGAATTTTCAGCACCATTACTCCAGTCTTCAGTGTCACATGAATCATTCTAATATGCTAAATCGCTGTTCAAGAAACATTTCTTCTTATTATAAATGTTGAAAACGGTTGTGCTACTTACATTTTTAGTGGAAACCGTGTTTTGTGATGAACAGAGATGTCAAAAGAACAGTATTTATTTGAAATAGAAATCTTCATAATGTCTTTACTGTCACTTTTGATCTGTTTAATGTATGCTTGCTGAATACAAGAACTTATTTCATTTAAAAAAATCATACTGACCCCAAACTTTTGAGTGAATAGTACTTCTTTTATTGAATAACTAAATGTAAAGCTTAAAAAAAAAAACATTAGACAACAATGGTTTTGAACTTTTAAAAAAAACGAATTAAAAATGTTAACTGCATATAGAACTGTATTACAAATATTCCTACTATTTGTTTCTAGAAAATTACAGAATGCATTTATATTCTATATTACATATTCAAAATAATTAGTATATTCTATGAAGGTGTTACAAAAATTACAGAATTTTAAATAAATAAATATATATTACATAATAAAGGTATTTAGACTCTTAAAAATGCCTGAATGTCTGCATTATATAATAAAATATCAAAGCAAGTGGCATTTATTTTAAAAGAAAAATAAAGGAATAAGGTTAGTAGACTTTAAACGTAGTTGATATGATGATCTACAGCTGTTTTTATTTTTCAAGGACACATTTGTGAACTTGAGAGGTACTGACTACACATCCACTAAAATGACCAGTTGACTTAAAGTCATTGCAAACATGGCTCAAAAAAATTAAAGATTTTGAGAGAAGGTTTAGCAGCATTTGTTTGCAGATGCCACTTTGTATCAAATGCTTTGACATTCATACAATTTTAAGCATGACTTAAGTTCAAATACTTTTTAGGGCCACTGTAAACATAGATCAGAGCTCAGTGTGTATAAGAAGCATGTAGCGGATGACTGCATATTACAGACTTATGCATCTGTTGATTGAGTAGAGTTTGAATGCTTCGGCTTCTCTTCCTCCTCATCCTCATCCTCCTCAGAGTGTGTTTGAGGGCCGGTGCGTAATGGACAGCGTGTGTTTAAAATAGCCCCTACACATAAGAGTCTGTGCAAACACTGCAAGACAGAAACAACCAGCTGCTTCTTTCCACTGACCGACTCAAGACACGGTACAGAACTCTCACTGAACCCGAACCCAACCTTCAACTCAGGCATTTCTGACCTTTGCTCTTTGGTCTTGTCCCATTGCTTAAGATCATCCAAGAAACGCGTCTGGATATTCAGAAACCGTCTGTGATTGCGAGAATACAACGTTCTAGGCAAGCACAACAAAGCCTCTGCCAGAAGCCTACAGCTCTGTGGGTCACAAGAGTTACGTTCGTTCAACAAAAAATGATGTAGCAAGAACTCAAACATGCCGCCAACAGGAAGCACTCCACCTGCACGCAGAATACCACCCCACAGGTCTTGTGATGAAAGCACGCTTTGTGATTGGTCCAAAGAAGGACTCTGTGATTGGTCAGATGCCAGTGTCTGACAGAAGCTTTGAGATAGATGTTGCAGCATTGCAAACACACCTTGGCTCACACACACAATCTGGTCAAGAAATCCCGGTGCTGGCGCACAAAGAACAAGCGTGTGCATGTGCAAAAACGTTCCCAGACAGGCATAGCGATGCCCGCCGAGTTGCACACGTCTGCAGTACTTGAGCATCACAAGGTGTTGAAGTGGTGGATGAGAGAGTGTTTCTGCAGCGCTGATGTTTGAAAGAAAATCCAGCTGGGCCGAATCGACACACTCAAGTAGAGAAACGTGGTTCAGTCGAGCCCATTGTGACACTCTTTCTGGCTGCTTCACGGAAGACAGCACCACATGCACCTGTAAGTCCAATAAACTCGCTAACTTTTGCTTCATGGCGCTCTCTGTGCGTTGCAGATAGTCCTTTTGAATGCACACGGATATGTTTTCACCTACAGCGACAAAGGAAGCTCCAAAACTCTCATATAAAATGAGTGCTTTTACTGATCCTGCTGGTTCAGTCCACACTGACCAATCACAGGTCACAACCAGGCCTTCAATCACCTCTGAGCAGCCAATAGGAAGTCCTGTCACGGCCGTATGTAGAAAAGAGAAGTGTGAATGTATGAATGAGATTGTTTCTTCTGCATTTTGATCTTGACTGATTTTGTGGTATAACTCACACAGGACTCGTTTCAGTACATCCGCCTGGCCGATCCCCACTCTTCCAGAAATATACCCGCCGATCAACAAATCAAGAATGCTGCCCTCCAGTTTGTAACTATGGTGATTACAGTACAATGAGGCATATGGGGTAATTTCGTGTGTTACGACATCTTCCAGCTCCTTCCTGCTCACAGCCAACAGGCGATTAGCAAGATTTTGAAGACTAGGGATGCTCCAAGATCCTTTGCGCTGCATGTGTGAGTCCTGAATTTCTCGTAACAGCGCAGCCAGCAGGAGAAGGAATGATTTCGTGCCATCTCCAGTAGCTTTAGCATGTGCACACACACAGTCCAACACCATCCTAAAGAACAAAGATAACAAATGCTAAATAAATCCACATCATTTTCATATAAAAATATTATCATTAAATCATTCTAATATGCTGATTTATTATCAGTGCTGGAAACTGTTTTGCTTCTTAATATTTTTTTGGAACCTGTGATACTTCTTTTCAGGATTCTTTGATGAATAAAAAGTTAAAAAGAAGAGCATTTATTTAAAATAGAAATCTGCACTACCGTTCAAAAGTAGACTTCTTTAAAAAACATTACAAGTCTTACTGATCCCAAACTTTTGACCGGTAGTGTATATACACTATTGTTCAAAAGTTTGGGGACAGTAAGATTTTTTAAAGAAATGTTATTCATCAAGGATACATTAAATTGATCAAAAGTCGCAGTAAAGGCTTTTACATTGTTACAAAAAAATGCTTCTATTTCTATTCATCAAAGAATCCTGAAATCAAATTAGTGATTATTCCACAAAATAATAATCAGCACAACTGTGTTCAACATTGATAATAATAAGAAATGGTTCTTGAGCAGCAAATCAGCATATTAGAATGATTTCTGAAGGATCATGTGACACTGAAGACTGGAGTAATGATGCTGAAAATTCAGCTTTGCATCACAGGAATAAAACATATTTTAAAATATACTGTTTTTACTGCATTTTTTGTATTTGAAAAATAAGAGACCTGGCCATAGGGTGCTGCAGGTGGAGTGTGCGGAGAACGCGTTGTCCATGTCTGGTGATGAGAGTTTCTCCTGTGTCTCGTGTGAACAGCACACTTCCACCGTCTGGACCGAGACAACGGCGGACTACACACTCCAGCGCTCCAACCACACTGACACACACCTGCAGAGACACACACTCCTCCTGCATCTACACACACACACACACACACACACACAGCATGTATGATAACACTAACAAAGATAATGTATTAAACAAAAACACACCTAGAACATCAATATATGAGGACAGACACACTAAAAGTAAATCACATTTCTAATAAACAATCAAATTTGTTTGCATTTATCTAAACAGTGGCACTTTTGTGCACAAGACACCAGTGATATTCGTCATACAGCTATCATTACACAGCTGGATATCCAAAAGAAACAGAAAAACACGAAGCCAAAGATCTGAACCAAAACAAACCCAACAAAACGGTGTAAAATGATCTCGAAACGATAATAACCTTCTAATCTGTTGAACATCCTCAAGCTTCATGCAGTATCCAGGCGACGCACTTCTTCTCCCATGTGATTGTTCTTCCTGTAAACATACGGGAATATACTGACACCTACCGGACAGACGGTGGAAGTGTCTAGTAATGCAATTATTAATAATAAATGAAAAAAAAAAAGTTTAATAAAACAAACATCTATCTTTTTATTGAAAAGGTTTGATATATTGCATAAAACCTAGTGGATTTCACCATTTCAGGTTCAATAGAATCTTTAAACAAAAATCTCTTGAACAGATATTCTCATTCAAAAATATAAGCTATAAATATTTATTATTAATTCAACATATTTATACATTATAATATAACTATAATAAATTATAGTTTATATTTCTTATGCTCTCAAAACAGCATGCAAAATTAAAACATGAGCCAAATATATTTGTTAAAGACAAGCTTGCTTTTAACGGATTTTATTATATGGTGTAGCAACCATCATTTAGAAATGCCTATGTATGTCCTCCAAACATTTTGGGAAATAACCAGTATTGGTATCTTAATGTGACCCCTAATTTTCAAATTGTTTTTATCATCCCTCATTAAAACCTTTGTCATAATGTCCATATGGCTCCACCCTCTGCTGCACAGCTTGCAATTGGATGCTTCTCACAGTCTCTCTCTCTCTCTCATCGTCTCTCTAGCAGTGTTAAACTCCGTCAAACATCTTGATATTTTCTTTCTTTTGAAAGAAAGAGTCTTGCCAAGACGCACAAGACATCTCTCTCAGATGACCTTAGTTTTAGGTCTTTAATTTTCTGTTCTTTCTTCATAGTAATTCAGATAACCTGCCTGTCGAGTGCACTTCTAAATCAGAGCTGCAGGTAAGTGTTCTTCCTCCTGAAATATAGTATGTGATTTTTTTTTTTACAATCTTTAGATTACATACACACTTAACAGTGAACTTTTATGTGCCTACAAACACAGGTTGTGTCCAAGGTTATCCATGCATTTTTATATAAACTAATCAATGAATAAATACTTTTATATGAAAGCTTCTAAGGTTATCAGAAGGATTTGTTTGATGGAATCGTATTGGTGTTGTGTATATATAAATGCATGTTTATTATTATTTGTGCTAGATATTCAGGTATAAGTTTGAGTCGGGGGTATCAGTGTGTCTATCAGTGTTGAGACAAAAGTTCACCGCAAAACACTAGATCCAACTTTTAATGAGCACTTCACCTTTAAGGTACATCTTAAAATCCACTTGCACTAAAAAATCCTTCGTGGCAGGAATGTTATAGAGGTCACAGCATACAAATTCACGATGTGCTGTTGGGACAATAATGCATTTAATTGCATTATAACAGCGTCAGTGACTTATAGACTCTGATATTCTGTATGCAGGTTCCATATGCAGAGCTCGGAGGAAAGACGCTGGTCATGACAGTGTATGACTTTGACCGGTTCTCCAAACATGATGCTATTGGGGATGCGAGGGTGCAGATGAATAAGGTGGACTTCAGTCATCTTACAGAGGAGTGGAGAGATCTGCAGAAAGCTGAGAAAGAGGAGGTACGAGTGAAGAAGCGAATCTTGAATGCATGCAGGGTTGAGTCAAGAACTTTTTCATGCCACAGTCTGAAACTGAATTGAATAGGTCACATTGCATAGTTGAATTCATGGCGAATTGGAATGACCCAAAACAACTGAATTTCATTAGGCCAACACAAGATAGCTTTGCAATAAAACATAAATACATAATTAAATTGATTAACAATTCATTTATTAGAATTTTACAGAATTATAACACATTTGAGATTTAATAAGAAAAGAATATTAATATATATTCACATCTGACATATTTACAAATATCAAAATTTTATATTTTCATATATAAATGTATGCAACAAAAAGTAATATTTCAAATGAATATCATTTACAATAAAATTAGATACATTTATTTATGCTAAACACTTACTTGCATACAAATCTTAATTAAAGTGAAAGTGAAGTGATGTGATGTGTAGCCAAGTATGGTGTCCTATACTCAGAATTTGTGCTCTGCATTTAAACCATCCAAGTGCGCGCGCACACACACACACACACACACACACACGACCTTTGGGTTACAGGTCTGACTCGCTATCCATTAGGCCACGACTGCCCTAAATGTTGAAGGTAAAAATGTAAAACACTTCTGACATGCTAACACATTATATTAATATTTACATAATAAATGCATGTAAAATATAAAAATTATATACATTTGTTATGCAAGGATATAAGGGTAATTCATACTGAAAATAAAATTTATTAACAACTGATAATACTCTTCTCAGTTTTTAATGATATTTTACATTTCTATTTCCTTAGAAATAAAAGATAATTATATTTGTATACATGAATTACACCTCTACACCTGCATGTGACAGAAATGTGTTGATTTCAGAATGAAGAGTGAAATAATACCTGACTTTTCGTTGTTGACTCCACAGCATGAGCGGTTAGGTGATGTTTGCTTGTCTCTGCGCTACGTACCCACTGCTGGAAAGCTGACTGTTGTCGTTCTGGAGGCCAAAAACCTCAAAAAAATGGATGTGGGTGGTCTCTCGGGTGAAGTGACCTATTATATTCTGATACATTTCAGAATACAGGTCTGAAATGTCATTTCCCCCAGTTTACTAATTCTGACATTAATTATCTGTTCTACAGACCCATATGTAAAAATCCACCTGATGCAGAACGGCAAAAGGCTGAAGAAAAAGAAAACCACAACTAAGAAGAACACACTGAACCCATATTACAACGAATCATTTAGCTTTGAAGTGCCATCTGAGCAGATTCAGGTAGAGCTGAAGTTCTCATTTCTGTCCATCTTGAAACTGAACACATTAATGGTTCTTGACTTATTTTCTATCTCCTAATAGAAAGTGCAGGTTGTGGTGACAGTCCTGGACTATGACAAAATTGGAAAGAATGATGCCATTGGAAAGGTGCTCATTGGACTGAACAGCACAGGAACAGAGCAACGCCATTGGTCAGATATGTTAGCCAATCCAAGACGACCCATCGCCCAATGGCACGCCCTTAAACCTGAAGAGGACGTGGATGCTGAACTGACAAAGAAATGAAGCTGTGTGGTTTTTGTGTGAGCATTTGTATACGGAAATATTCAGCGGTTTGCTTTCATTTGTGAAGTTTGTGTGTATATGTATGCATGTCTGTGTATGTGGGGAAAGTCTGAGGTAGATCTGGTAAAATCTCATCTATTTCAGCCACATTAATAACCAGAACCACACTCATTTTCAGTATCTTGTGTGCAACATGTACAAAGACACATTAAATGATGTATTAAAGGAGAAACAGCATTCACAATGCAACATCTGTAATAATACCATATTCCTGAGTAAAACAGAATATTCATGAGGAAATAATGAAAACCAGGACAAAATCCATTGGTATTTGATTAGTGAAAAGTAGGTTTTGACATTATTAGTTGCTATTATTTTTCCTTGCCTATGCAGAAGTCATTTCATAAATGGATAAAGTTATTACATTTTGATTATGCAATCATTTGCATAATTATTTTTCTCTAATATAATGTCCACTAATGAATTGTGCATAAGACCCTTAAACAGATAAAAATGAAAGATCAGTCATCATTTACTCACTCTCTAGTGGTTTCAATCCTGTATGAGTTTCTTTCTTCTGTTAAACACAGAAGACGACATTTTCAAGAATGTTAGTAACCAGTTGCTGGTAGCCATTGATATACATATTATGGGGGGGAAAAATATGGAAGTCAATGGCTACCGGCAACTGTTTGGTTACCAACAATCTTCAAAATATCAGAATTTTCATTTTTGGGTGAACTATCCCTTTAAAAACTGTTAACATGGTCAATTTTAATCTTATGTTGTCTTCATAGAATCAACAGTATGATGTATATAAATATATAAATACACAAAATCCTTGTTGATCCTCACAAATGACATGCATATGTATTGAATGCATATAAATTATACATTGAATATAACTTATAAATTATGTTGATATATTGTTTGGGATTTTCACAAACGGAAATATGTAGTATATATATTCAGGTTTTTGCAATATCACTTATTTGTCATTGTAAACCTGGGTGCAAAAGCTTAAAAATATATTTATTCTCTTGATAAAATAAAATAAGCCATATATTTCGGCAACTGTTTGGTTACCAACAATCTTCACAATATCTTCAAAATATCAGAATTTTCATTTTTGGGTGAACTATTACTTTAAAAACTGTTAAGAAAGTAAACATGGTCAATTTTAATCTTATGTTATCTTCATAGAATCAACAGTATGACTTTTAGCAATGGCACAACAAACACATCTTAAGACACAATTTAATAACCACATACAATTGTATATAAATATATAAATACACAAAATCCTTGTTGGCCATGTGATCCTCACAAATGACATGCATATGTATTGAATGCATATAAATTATACATTGAATATAACTTATAAATTATGTTGATATATTGTTTGGGATTTTCACAAACGGAAATATGTAGTATATATATTCAGGTTTTTGCAATATCACTTATTTGGCATTGTAAACCTGGGTGCAAAAGCTTAAAAATATATTTATTCTCTTGATAAAATAAAATAAGCCATATATTTGTTTGCATAAGTTTCCTGATTTCACACACCGACCGTTCAAAGGCTGAACTGTTCATTTTCCAGCAGTGGATCTGCATGTTCATCTGAGTTCTAAGACAAACAGAGGTCAGATTTAACTATATTATATTAACTACATGAACTATATAATAAACATTACAAGGTTTCTGCATGTTCAATTTTGATCAATTTCTCAGAAAGAGTTTTATGTTGCATCTCAAATGTTTCTTGATTTGAGAATGTTTATACATTTGTACTGGAAAACAAGACAAAAAATATTGAGGAAGATATTCATTTTTAGTAATGCATTCAACATTTAATGCCATGGCTTTATGAATTTAAGACTTTCTGCTCCAATTTAAAGGGGTCATATGACGTTGCTAAAAAAGAACATTATTTTGTGTATTTGGTGTAATGAAATGTGTTTATGCGGTTTAAGGTTAAAAAAAACAATTATTTTCCACATACTGTACATTATTGTTTCTCCTCTATGCCCCGCCTTTCTGAAACGCGTAGATTTTTACAAAGCTCATCGGTCTGAAAAGCAAGGTGTGCTCTGATTGGCCAGCTATCCAATGCGTTGTGATTGGCCGAATACCTCAAGCGTGTGACGGAAATGTTACGCCCCTACCATACTGTGATGCCGTGTCCCGGCTCCGGAGCGATGATTCAAAAACATGAAAACCCATTATAAACGGGAACTGAATTCACCGGAACAGCGGCATTGCAATCTACTCTCCCAGGAAACAGTCCTCGTCCTCCGTAAAATGCGTTGCACACATCTGAATATTTGGGTTGAAGTGTTCTGGAACAGTGTTGTAAATACAACTTAACCACTGATTTCTAGTCATGTCCTCTTTTGGAAGACCAAACAAAATAGTTTCGCTTTCACAACCAAAACACACAGCGTCTTCACGACATGGCGGCGGCAACAATACTACAGCGAGAATCAAAGTTATACCTTCTTTCTTTGAGTGAACATTTGGGCGGTGTTATGCAAATCTTCCCACACAGTGACGTAGACATGTGGGGGCGTGTTAGAACGAGGCATTTTAGGAGGGCGTGGACAAGTCTTAATTTTTATAAAGAATATCTCTTTGGGTTTAAGACTTTAGTCTTTGCAACTTTAGGGATCTTATCTATTCACGAACAGCTTGTAACACTCCAAAGAGAAAGAAAAACTTGAAATCGCATCATATGACCCCTTTAATAAATTTTTAGGCCTTAATTTTTGGAAGGGTGAATTAAGACTTGCTTTTTAAGACCCGCAGAAAACCTGTATTAATACTGTATTCATAATATTTTGAAGCTTGAATGTGTGAATGTTGTACCTGGATTATGGTGATGTAGTCCTGTCTGTAGAGGGTCCTGTAGGACTTCATACCTCTCCAAATCAGAAAGAGCATGTATATGGCTGCTAACATACACTGGAGGATGGACATGAAACCACTGCCCTTTAGCACATGCACACCAATGCGCTGAGAGAGAGAGAGATATGGAGAGAGACCATGAACTCATTTCATTGGTAAATTCTAGTGGATTATTGATTGGCAGTTTCTCTGTACACGCACCTGCGGAGGGGTGGCTTTTTCCATTTGTGAGGATTTGATAAAAAAGGTGACACAAGAACAAACTGCAAACAGTATGCTGAAGATATTCAGGCCCATCAGAGTCATGACCTACAACAGCAGAGATCTCACTTTACTCAAACAAGCACACAAGAAGCCTAGTATCATGAAATGCCAAGAATATACGAATACATTTGTCCTAAACTACAAAATAAACATTTGGTTTGAAAAAAAAAAAAAAAAAGACTTAAAACAAACTTACTTTGATTTTTTTGGGTTTCCTTTGGACGTCAATTGCAAGTGACCCCGTGGCTAGATACTGACATAAACAGATATATAAATATATACAGTGGTGTGAAAAAGTGTTGGCCCCCTTCCTGATTTCTTATTTTTTTGCATGTTTGTCACACTTTAATGTTTCAGATCATCAAACGAATTAGTTGGGCTGTAGCATGTCAGACTGATTATTGCTTTGTTCTGATTTACTGTAAAATTTGGGAACCAGAAATGTTAACTGGAGCACTTACAAACAGGCTACACCATATTGGAGCTGTCATAGATGCAGAACAGCTGAAAGTCAAACAAGAATAAGAGAAAGTGGAGAGAATACAGAAGGCAGCACTGAAAATCTGAACAACCTGAAAGAGAAAGACAGAAAAGAGGGACAAAAGCAAGAATTAGGCTACAGTATATACTGCCCACTATTGGTCAAAAATAGTATGTGAAGCAGTAAGCCATATGCAATAATAAATGCTTCAAATAATAGTATGGCATGTTGTCATCATGTTGCATGTTTAATTCAAAAAGTGGCATTCATTTTGAAAATAAAATGGTTATTTTTTAATCTCTGATCCAGTTTATGTAAACTTTTGGCAGTCTGGGCACATGATGAGTCAAGAAAAAGACGGTAAATATCACTGATGATACTGCTATCATTTGTCAATTTCTGTTATTTTAGTATCACTGATATACTATTATAGTTTTTTGTTGAGATATTAAAAAAAATTTTTATTTTTATTTTTAGTTAAAGTTTTAGTAATTTTGTTGCGTTTTACTCATTTTATTAGTTTTAGTTATTTTAGTACACCATGTTAAACTAAACAAAATGAGAAATGTTGCCCTGGAAACTAGCTGATTTTTTTTTTTTCAATTAACATTTATTTTCTGTCAAGTAATGGAAATGTTTTCGATGGTTTTAGTTTTAGTTAACAATAATAACCCTGGTCAAACTGAAAACTGAAGGTGAAGTTGACCTTAAAGACTTGAACTTTGGTTGTAAACCACTATTTTGGCAAGTGTGTATACAGAAAAATCTGCATACTATTCACAGTACACATACTTTAAACTGCAGAAAAATAAGATGGTAGTATGCAATTCAGAATATATAGTCTAATATTATATTGTATACAACATATGTATTCAATAAATCCGAGTTTTATTGGGATTGGTGGGTGTCTATGACAGTTAAACTAGATTTTTGTTACCCCAGACAGGAGGAGGCGGGTGTTGACCACTGTCCCAAACCAGCGGACCAGTCTGTCTTCCATCAGCTCTCCAGTTGCGGAGTCATCAGCTAGAAGAGTGCGGGGCAAAGGGCGTTCCTTAAAAAACACCTGATGCAGCCCCTCCTGAAACATGTTCTGAGTCATCTGGGACAAAAGAAGTGACATCATGAGTAACCATGACAACAAATGGACTGGCTACATATGGCCAAATCTAATTTGATTTTGAATTTTTGTTGTGTAGTTCATCTGATTGGTTAACAAACATATACCATAGCATTTACAATCACTAACAATTTAATACATGACTATAGTGACTGTTATAGATATACGAGTGACGTAATGTATAACTTACCTCTGGAATCCCAGGCATTAGATAAGAAACACCTTTCTAAATCGGTTTAAAACAAGTCAACAAGCATTCAAATATAAGGATTCACTTCAAGACGAACATCAGTCTTTGTGAAATACAGGGTCAAAGTTCTTTCTCAGGCTCTTGCTCTTAAAGCCCTTCCAATAGGGAGAGTCCTGATGTGTGATTTGTCAGGATCTGATCAAAGGTTGTTTAGAGTCATAGTTTCATACTGGTTGATATGAATCTTATTGTTTAAAGCTTTATAAATTCTAATTTTTAATAATTAAAACAAAAAGATGTTAAAATAGCATAAAAATTATATATATTGCTAAAGCAGTGTTTATTGTTAAATAATTAAATAAACTATGCATTTTATTTTACAATAAAGCAAATACAATTATATAATGAGATAAACTACTGTATTAAGAGGAAGTAAAATCTTCAGTAAACAACTAATGTAAACTCATGCAGAACAAAAAAATAACAGGTGCTTATCTTACATACATTCACTTAATTCAACAGCATCAGTTGCATAATGGAAATATAAAATGTGTGCAAACATATTTCTGATCAAACAAATACATTGTAAACTACAGTAAGGAATGACAAACCAGAAATAAAAAAACAAAAAAAACTGATGTTTTTATCAGCTGTTTGGACTCTCATTCTGACGGCACCCATTCACTGCAGAGGATCCATTGGTGAGCAAGTGATGTAATGTAATGTCTCCAAATCTGTTCCTATGAAGAAACAAACTCCTCTGCATCTTGGATGGCCTGAAGGCGAGTCATTTTTCAGCACATTTTCATTTTTTAGAGAACTATTCCTTTTTAATGACTTACAGCATATTTGGTAACAAATTTCACATCACACTCTTATATACATACTCCTATACAGTGATCAGAGCACATATTACATATTATCTTCTCCTCCAGCATACATGTCAGCCAGTCTCCTGAACTGAGGTCCCCAGTTCTGCAGATGCTGGAAGTCCTGATCTCCATCACTGATGGACGACTGCAGGGAGCTAAGAGATCCAGCTTCAGACCCCTCACCCTCATGTGCAAACACCAGCACCGAGTCATACAGCACCACATAGTGGTCATCATCTTCTGTGCACAGATTCTACAGAAACACAGAGCCCAGTATTTTACACATGAATGTAACTTATGATGGTAATTTTGTTGTGGATGTTTTTCAGGATTTTTTTGTTGATCCAAACACAAGGCTTGCAGAAATCATGGTGACTCTTTTATGCACATATACACTCTTTCTATACACACCTCATAAATGAAGTTTTCAATATCTTCATTCTCGTCTGGGTGTTGTCGATAGAAGACCATTGGTGAGGCCGTCGGGGCAATATAGGTTGAGAAAACCTCTGGTCTGCTGCACAACAGGACCATATCAAAATCCTGTAACACATAAATAAACACTGAGTACAGTAAGACAAAAGTAAAGTTGATTGAACATGACATGTGGAAGAGCTTGTGTACCTGGTCCTGTTCCCCGCCTCCTTCCTCATTGTAACATAAAATATTATCCCTGTCTTCTTCTGTCTGACTGAACTGTTCCCAATGAACTTTTCTCCCACACCTTCTCTTCAGGAGAAGAAGCAACAGTAAAAGCACTATAGAAAAGAAGAAATTATTTTTTGAACATCATCAGTACTGTTATTAGTAGTGACTGCAAAGGCCAGCATCATTATAATAAAATTATATATATATAAATTTATTTAGAAGTGAATACTTTTATTCACCAAGGAAGCAGTAAATTGATCAGAAGTGACAAAGCTTTTGTAACAGTATAAAAGTCTTGACTATTTCAAATAAATGCCACTCTTTTGAACTTTCGATTCATCAAAGAATCCTGATTTAAAAAAAAAAAATCTAATTCAGCTTTGCACATTTTAAAATAGATTAAAACAGTATTACATTAAAATAGTTTTAATGTATTTTTATTAAACAAAACCTTTGGTGAAAATAAAATGTTCTTAAAAATTAAATTAAATAAATACACACACACATAATATTAAATTCACATTTTTCTCGTTTGAAGACTCATAATGATAGGTTGTTTGCTTACCAAGAAAGCATAAGATGGCCGCTAGCACATAGATGGACAGGGTGATGTCAGCAGCAGCAGCATATATACCACTAAAGCAGGTAACGTCATCACCGCTACAGTCACACACCTCCACTATGATAGAACTGTCCTGAAATAACATCTTGGAGTCGTACACACGCAATACCAGGCTGTAATCGCCAAGAGCCAGACGTCTGAGTGGGTTCAACCACACCAAACTGCCTGAGAAACGAGGGGAGAGAAGAAGTGTGAGATATCCAATATATTTACAACTGATCAGCAAAACTTAATATAAGCTGAACCAATCCTACTGCTGGAGTTTCTGATGATGGTCCAGTTGCTTTGATATTCTTTATGTAGCTCTATGATGAAGGGTGGGCCATTTTCTGGCCCGTCTGGATCTGTGATGGTCAGACGGACGGGCTTGGGTTCTTTGAGACACATCGGGACTCTGCGCTCCTCCAGCACTGGTGCGTTGTCATTAATATCCAACAGCTTAATCACTAATGTGCCTGTTCCTGTGGTGGGCTCATCATCTACAGAGATACATAAAATAAATAAAGTAGTCCAGATAACTTGTCTAAAGCCAACATCAGATGTGTTTCAAGTAACACAAGAATGAGTAGATGACAGAAATGTAATTTTTTGGTGAACTATCCTGAACTATCCTTTTAGTGAACTATCAGGCTTGAATACACTACTTGACTTGTGCCCAGATTTTTGCTCTAGATTACAGTCCGGAGGAGTCAATGCTACTTGCCAAAAGTCAGAGGCAGTCTGCAGATTTTAGCCAGGTTTATTAGCTTCAAACTATGATTCCATCCAGTCGGAGGACATCATCAAATATGTTTGATATTTTGAGCCAATTTCAGAAAACATTGTTTTAATTTGTCATGTGTCTCCTAGCAATTAGGTAGCAAGTCTAATCGTGTGTGATCCTCAGTCGTTTAGTTTGTGATGAACACCAGATTTTCTCTGTGACCATTTACAAAGTCAGAAAGTGTATGTACTCCGGTACCTCAGGTGATACAAGATGTAGATGAGTTTGTTTCTTCTTCAGAACAGATTTGGAGAAATTTAGCATTACATCGCTTGCTCACCAATGGATCCTCTGCAGTGAATGGGTGCCGTCAGAATGAGAGTCCAAACAGCTGATAAAAACATCACAATAATCCACACCACTCCAGTCCATCAATTAAGGCCTTGGAAAGCAAAAAGCTGCATGTTTGTAAGAAACAAAACCATCATTAAGGTATTTTAACTTTAAACCATTGCTTCTGGCAAAATATGAGTCCATAATCCAAAATAACGCTTCCTCCGGGTAAAAAACCCTAACCTCCATCCCCTGTTGACCTCTCACATCAAAATGTCAAAAGTTAAAAATGTCTTAATGATGGATTTGTTTCTTATAAAGACGTGGCTTTTCACTTCACAAGACGTTAACTGATGGACTGGAGAGGTGTGGATTATTGTGGTGTTTTTATCAGCTGTTTGGACTCTCATTCTGACGGCACCCATTCACTGCAGAGGATCCACTGGTGAGCAAGTAATGTAATGCTATATTTCTCCAAATCTGTTCCGAAGAAGAAAAACGCATCTATATCTTGGATGGGGGTGAGTAAATTTACAGCTAATTTTGGAGTGAACTATTCCTTTAAATAAAAAGTATTTGGAGGTTTATTTAAATTACCATTGTCATAAGCCAGTACTAAGACCGTGTACTGTTCATTTCTTATGAACGAGGCTTCTCTGTCCAGTGAGCTCCTGACTCTGATGACTCCAGTGTCCTCTGTGATCTCCAGCCAGTTTGCAAAGTCTTGCAGCAACTTATATCTGACATCACAACACACAAATATGTGACAGCAGAAATAAACACATGACAGACACCGTGGTGCTTAACAAATGTGCAATAAAACCCAAAAAGTTGGATTCTGACAGTAGTAACACCGGGGTTTTGTTTGGATGTGTTTGTTCATTTTTTTTATATTGCTACTTAGGTTTAATTTATTTTAGTTTGAGTTCAGTTTTAGTTTGTATGTATTTCTATGTGGTAAGTTTAGTGCTTCAACTTCTTTCAGTTAGTTGTCAAGGCAAGATTTCAAAATTTTTTTGTTCAAGTTTTTCATCTAATATTTAATTTTTATTTTATTTCAGCTTTATTTCAATTAACACAAATGTTTTAATAGTTTTATTTAATGATAAAAACCCTACCTGCTGGGTAATATACAAAAAAGGGGTTTTATGATACGACACAGGGTATAATTGTGTTGTTTTGTGTGTGCATCCATGTAAAACCTTATTTTCTGCTCTCTAGCAGTGTCTGGGTCATTGGCTGTGTATTTGGAGATGGTGCTGCCCACTGCGAGGTCCTCAAGAATCATGATCCGTTTCTCTGCAGGCTCAAAGACAGGTGGCTCGTTTACATCCTGCACTGTGATGGTGATGGTAGCATTGGAGGTCACTAAAGGAACAGCAAAAGGAACCTCGTTCTCAACCACCACCAGCAGAGAGAAACTGTTGGCTTGCTCGAAGTTCAGACCCTAAAAATATATAGACACAAGGATTTTTATTTTCTAAAGAAAATGGGAGTTCTCATGAAAAAAAAAAAACTAACTGTACTAGACAAAAAATCTGGGGTCTTTAAGATTCGTAAATTTTTGAAAGTCGTCTCATGCTCACCAAGACTGCATTTTTATGAGCAGAAATACAGTAAAAACAGTAATAGTGTGAAATATCATTACATATAGTTTACTGTTTACTATTTGAATATTTTCAAATGTAATTTATTCCTGCGATGGCAAAGCTGAAATTTACACGATCTTTCAGAAATCATTCTAATATGCTTATTTGTTCCTAAAGAAATATTACTTATTATTATGAATGTTGAAAACGGTTTTGCTGGTTACTAACAATTAACAATTTTTTTCAGGATTTTCTGATAATTAGAAAGCATTTTTTAGCTTTTTTTTTTTTTTTTAATGGAAATCTTTTGTAACATTTACTGCCACTTTCAATTTAATGCATCCTTGCTGAATAAAAGTATTAAATTCATTACTGACTCATATATTCATATATCAAGCTAAATATAATATAAATTCACTTTTGATGTTGTGATGATTCCCTCCATCCCACTGGGGCCGGTGCTGATGTTGAAGAATCCTTTTTCGTTGCCTTGGATGATGGTGAACTTTGCCACTGAGTTTACAGTTAAAGGCTCATCTCTATCGGTGACATCCAACCTTGCAACAATTCCCCCAGCCTTATTTTCTTGTACTGTACCTGCATACTGCCAAAACACACACAAACAGACCATTTCATAGCTACTCAACACCAGATGTGTCTGGAAAATCTAGCCTAAATCCAAACCAAAAATTAACTTACCTTTCTTTGGCTGAACTTAGGGGCGTGATCATTGCTATCAGTAATATTGATGATGACCACACAGGTGGAAGAAAGACCGTGACCATCCATATCTGCTGCCTCCACAGCCAGCTTATACACAGTTTGAGTCTGTTATCATAGAGATGGCAGCCATGTTCAGATGATGGTTATGAAACAACATCAGCATTCAAAAGTTTGGGGATTTTTTTTTAAATTTAAATTAATAATTTTGCTAAATTTACCAAAATGTACTAAAGGTTGTTCTTTTGAACTTTCTATTCATCAAATAATCCTGAAAAAAATTAAATAAATGCATAACGGTTTCCACAAAAATATTAAGCAGTAAACTTTAACTATTTTATTACTAATGTCCAGGGTGAATGGCCACCTGGGGCACACAGAACGAGAAGCACTGAGCTGTTCAAAATCTTAATTCACCTTTAAATTACATTATACTTGTCTCACAACATGTCACTTCTCCCTAGGCTGGAAGAGTGTGTATAGACATTTATCAATAATTTGTCTTTCTGTGGACTTATTAAAGTCTATGCTTCAGGGTATCTCCAGGATTTTTAAGTTCAAATTTAAGACCTTTTTTAAATTCCTGCACAAATAAAATTAATACCATATGAACAGGGTAGGGCAATGTCTGTGATAACATTAAACTGTAAAATGACCGTAAAAAGCATGATTTACAGTTCAGATACAGCTCTTCACAAAAACAAAGTTTTATAAAATGATGAACTTCACATTTCAAACTATTTTTAAGAAAATGTCAAAAAAATATCAATTATTATATTAATTAAAAAAATTATCATCAATCATTATATTAATATTTATGATACATTATCTTCTTGTCGATCCACCAGTTCACATTTGCAACTTTGCATGTTGCTGCTCTGCTCTGCATGTCTGCATTATATATGGGTCGATTTTCGCATTGGTTGGGCTTACGGCAGACGGGCTTATTGAAATGCACATTCATTCTCTGCCAGCAGATTTCCTCAGTAACACAAAGGAGCACAGCACCTGACTTTGAAATGTGCACTGCCCATAATTATTCAATGAAATCATAGCCTTTAGAAGTTTAATCGTCGCATTAAGCATTATCGCAATTCTTGCCTTTCTGTCCCCAAATTTAAGAGCTTCTGAAATCATAATTAAGACTTATACCATTTCAGACTTTTTATGGCCTTAAATTTGATGCAACTAAATTTGTGACTTTTTAAGGACCCGCAGAAACCCTGTTAATATAGATTGCCATTACTCTTTCCTATTCTGTTTTAACAGCAATCTACACTTTTTTTCCCCTTCATTCTTGAAGTGAACCTTTTGCCTGTCAGGTGATAAGGTTCAGTGACTAGATTTTGGATTGCTGCCTTGAACGTGAGAACATGACGGCGCAGCGCTTCTCATTCGGTGTGCATCACAGCCTATTTGAAGCAAGAGGTTTACCATCAGGTTTAGGTTTCCTGAATAACAGTTGAGTAACTGTGTAAGTTAACGTTAGACCTTTTGCTCCATTAATCAGATAAGAGAGATTCTTATAACAGTATAAGAATGTTTAGCTAATGTGGGGGGTAATGTGTAATAAAAGGGACCACACAAAACTCAGCATTGAACAAAAAACTCCGACATTTTGAGCAGTGAGTGAATTCTGACTTAAGTTTTAAAACCTCTGGCCATTGTGTTCAAGAAATCAACACATGTCTGTGATTGGCTACATTGCTCAACGCTACAATGTTGTAAATAGAAACCTGAGTGCAAACACACATTTCACTTCCATTCTTTGGGGGTAAATAAAAAAAGTATATACTGTATTAATGAAACATCATTACATATGTACTAGACATGTGAAATATAAATATATATTTTTGTCTCCATGTAAACAAACTCAGTTTTAGTACCTCTCTGTCCAAAACACCCCTAGTGGCCAGGCTGATGACTCCACTGGCTGGGTCAATGCGAAACACCCCACCGATGGGTTCCTGTCTCACCAGTTTGTAACGCACAACGCCATTTGCAGTTTCGGGGTCATCAATGTCTTTTGCCGTCACTTGTATGACAGGCACATCTATAGGAGCATAAAACATAGTATTTTATGTTGTCATCTTATAAGAAACAAATGTATAGTTACTGAAAGACATGTCTGAGAAGGATTGAAGAATCTCCACATCCTACATTGTTTTGCCCTTTCTAGGACTTCTCCCATAAAAGGATTCTGGGTACACAAGGGTTTGTTGTCATTTTGGTCAATAACTTTGATGGTGAGTTTGACAGGGGTTTCAGTGTAGCTTTGATCCTCTGCTGAAGCATGAATTGTGATCTGCACTCCGACACACATAATATATAGCATTTATCAACACAAAATACTTTGGTAAAGTTACATGCAAACTCAAACCTTTTTTACATGTTATGTTTAAAATCCAGGTTCTTCGAGCACCGCAGGTCACTCACAGTGTATTCTTCAGTTTCCTCTCGGTCCAGGCCTTTGGTGACCCACAACATGCCTGAATATTTGTCCACTCTGAAAAGACCCTTGGGCGGCTGATCTGCTCCAGGGCCTGTGATTTTATAGATCAGTGCAGCATTTATAGAAGCAGCAGCAGTGGACTTCATCTGTGGAGCGAAACATAAAAGGAAAGATTAGAACTTTGCTTCTGTGAAATTAAAACAAAGAACAAACAGGACAATGACATACAAATTAAAAATATTAGGAGAGAGATACACCTTCACCACTTCCTTTGGGAACGGGCCTTTATCATTTTCAGAAATGCTGACAGGGGGAATCAACCAAGCCCTCTTTCTTCTGATCATGCTGTTAGATGTCTTGGGAATAACTGTCGTCGAGACATAATGGGACCCTGGAATTGTGCTGTTCTGAATGACAAATGTAAATCAAATAAACAAATATGTAAATGCTTTAAAGCTTTTGAGTTACAATATAGTGGTTACAAAAGTTTTTTTGTATTTTTATTTTTTCAAGAAAATATTATTTCAGTCATTCTACTTCGAAATTTTATGTTTAATTCAATATTACTTTCTGTTTCTTTGTAATTCTTTGTGAAATTTTCTAGCAATTTCTAAGTGAAAAGTGTTTCTGTAACAATTTTTATTAGTGTAGTTAATGTGATACACCTACTACTACACCTATGTTCCGAGAAACTGACTTGAATCAACAACAAAAAAAAAATAAAAGAAAATGAGCATTTGGTTAAATGTAAATGCAAAAATGTCTCAGATAAATTTTGAATATGTTTGCAGCTGCCACTTGTTTTTGCAATGAATTTCATGTCAGTGTCCAAATACTTGAGGCCACTATACATTTTTAGAAATAAGCAGGGAATTCAAAAAACATTTGTAGATATATTGGTGTAATTCATGTACCTGCCAAAGCGTGCTGCTGTTTCTCTTGTCAAGCATGAACTGTCCCAGTTGAATGGCTGCTAAATACTCTGGTATGATTTCTGAGAAGACCATCTGTTAAAACAGATAAAGTATGCATTATTTTATGTGATAAAAAAACAAAACTTTAAGCAATTAAAAAACTGATACAATTTCATATAATTTCCGATTTCTTTAGGTGAACTAGGAACACAAAAATATTAATTCTGATGCATTCATTTTCTTTATCCAATGTGTAATAAAATCTACAAACATGGTTACTATTAACAAATTATACATTCATTAATTTAAATGGATAATTCAATACTGAAAATAATCACGTACACATATGTACTTAATTAAAAATATCACAATCATTATTTAATTTTATTGCAATTATGTAAGGTCTATTGTATGGACTTTTAAAACATTTGCAGACCAAAACACTAACAGATGACAGTGTGATCTTCACATCAACATGTATAAAACAAAAAGATGAAAAAATTACTTAAAACACTTACCAGACACAAAACACAGATGAAACTTCCATGAGTGAATCTCTTCATGTTCACAGCAATAATAAACAAAATAAAGAAAAAGAACTATATATTTTCTGTGTGTATTGTCCGCTATCTTGTCTGTTCCCAGCTTAAGCTGTACTCTAAAGTCTGATCTCAGTATGTGTGTGTGGGTGGGGGGGCATTTGCATGTTTATGGAAGGTGCTAAAGGCAATACAATGAGCTTACCGACAGATATAATGGCATGTTTAAAAGCATTAAGTAAAACATGACTCTCACATGTATGGAAGATTTCAATGGCAGTTTTAACAAACTACGTATGTGGATGTCATTTAACATGTTATAATACATCTTGTTACAAATTATTTTACAAAATAAATTAGTATTTTATAATAAAATGAAGACTGTTTATAGTGCTTTGATGCATCAACCCTTAGGGCAAACAGATAGACAAAAGTGCTGCTGTGTCATCATGGAAAAATTACTTCACAAGAATTGCTTTTTGATGGAGATGCACCATAAACTGTAAATGCTGACAGCAGCACATCTGGTGAGCTTGCCAGGAACACTGTTAAACTGTTCCATAATTAAAGAGACTTTTTGTCTATATTTACCCACCCTCATATTGTGCCAAACAAGTTTCTTTCTTCTGTTGAACACTGAAGATATTTTGAAGAATGCTTGGTTACCAACAATCTTCAAACTATCTCCTTTTGTTGTGTTCAACACAAGAAGAAACTCATACCGCTGCAGAGTTTAAAAGAAAAACAAACGTTTCCGGTTTTAACAGCCATATTTATTTTATAGTACCTTTACCAGGATATTTCATATAGTTTTATATAGTTAAACACAGCAATAGCATGAGACCCTTGGCAAAAACACATACTTGGGACAAACATGGCACAGAAACACTTCCCATCAGTTTCACAGTCTCTAGAGCGGCAACTCTTTTACAAGACAAACAGATATAACTTACTGAAGCTTCAAATAAATCTCAAAGAAGTCATAAGGTTGTACATTACTCTCTCTCTCTCCCTGCATGAATTATCATACAGCATTTTCAGACTGACAGCTCTGTAGTGCTATTCTTATACTTGCACATTCAAAATTTTAACCCAAGAACAACAAACGACCATCAGATTAGAGCATAAACTCAGTTGTTTAGTTTATGTTGGCCAGACTTGTCTTCTTACCTCACTAGATATAATGCATGGCCAGGTACTCCCCAAATCATTTTTGAAGTAAACAATCGTCAGTATTTTTCTAAAACCATAAGTAGCTACATTATGAAACTGTCCTCCCAGAAAAATCATAAGCTATACGATTCAGGATGTACTTCATACATTGTACATTCAAATAAAAACGATTCTCCCTTCTAGATGAAGACTGCAGTTTGACAGTCACAAATTGTTCCCAGAGTAAATGAAAAACTATAAACATAAAAAGCTTTAGTCGAAGGCCGAAAAAGCAGTGCTTCCCTACTAATGCAGTAAAGTTCATATCATGTAATTAAGGACACCCTCATACATAAGCATAACCCGAAACAGATTATTGCATTAAAAGGTAAAGCATTTCAGTTGATCATTCAATCATGAGCAACTGTCAGAATAAGGCAGGGGATAAATAAACAGTCAAATAGGCACTTAGGAGACTTACTTACCTCATGCATTCAAACCAGACTGCTCTGACTACATGGCTTACCTGAAAATTAATGGCAATGGCAAATCCATCTATCCTTACAGTGTGGTAAACCATTCTAAAAAAAATAGCACAATCTATAGGATGCAATGATAGATCAAAAATCTTAACAAATATGCCACTATTATGCAAGCATCCAATAAAGTAGTAGAATGTACATATGTAGATTGTGATGCACTATTATATAAAACAGTCCTGTTTGGCTGCCCCCCGGGTTTATTCTCAGAAGCTCTTCATGTACTTTTTTTAGTGCCACATATGATCTTCTCTGAGATCTCCTTTCTTAGTGTTACATGGTGAGGGTTCACATTTGTGTTGTGTTACAGGATGCTCTCACGAGAGTTTCCGGAGTTAGAGGACGTGCTGGCCCTGTTATCGTTGGAGACAGTCTTCCTGTTCCAGGTTAGAGAATCAATTAAGGTCTGATTCAGTTTCTCCATCCAGTCAGACCTCTCTTCTCGTGTGTCTGCTGAAAACCAGCACCTGCACAACAAAAGATCATTTACATACAAATTAAAACCAATACTCTATTGTAAACTGATACTAAATGTTAGTCATATAACGAAAAAGAATTAGCAGATATTTTCTTCCATAATGTGACGTACATTTGAGTGAAACGGATTACTTAGAAAAAAATGCATGGATGAATTGTTCAAAATAAGATCTATAACATGCATTTAGAAAACGGTCTGAATTTTCATTTCATGTCAGGTTTAAAGGAATATTTCAGATAAGCCCCTTTTTTAGATGGAGGATCTTCTGGTTTTACGTGTTTGTCTTTTTCGTCTCCCTTGTGATCCATGAAAAATTACACAGCATATAGGTGTGGAACAACATTAGGGCGATGACAGAAGTTTCATTTTTGGCTGAACTATTTCTTTTAGTAAATTCATGAATGCATTACTTCTTCAAGGTTTGGCTGTGTTCTTGCTGGAGGGTGTTTGTCTCTACTAATTCAAAGGTGTGTGGCCGTGCACAGCACTCTCGCTCCACAGGCCTGACACTGCAGAAGCCAAAGAGAGAGAGACTGCCATCTGCTGGCTGGAAGAGAAGGAGATGGATAAAAAAAAACATTAATGAGGAGAAGGATACACATTTTTTACACACATAATTGCACAAATCCCACCTTATTGCCCATCTCATTCGGGTAGTTCCAGTAGAGAAGGTGTCCTCCTTCCAGAAGGAAGTAGAACCTCTGCCAAGCTCCAAAGCCACTCACATCCTCAAACATGGTCTACAAGAGGAGAAAGAAAATTACAGCACAAATTTCCCAAAATCAAAGCACATTTCCTATAAACACACATCACAAAGCACATAAAATTACAAAAGAATACATTAAAAACAAACTGAGATCACAGATGAAATAAATCGTTTAAATCACAAAATGAAGTACTAATGTAACCGGAGAGAACCTGTTGGAGCTCTATTTCAGCACATAAAATATTCTTGTGTCCTAAGCCATTCTCAAACAACTTGCATTCAAATGGATCAGACTGCGACTAGGAAGATAAACTGCTAACATATTTCACATATTTGCTTTGCAAATATGAACTGGCAACTGTATTCTCACATTTTTTGCTTATAAACAAATTAATCAAGGGACTACAGATATGGTAAGTGCCTTTTCCATATGATAAAACAAGCTAAACAAAGCACCAGTCAAGTTCTGGGAAACATATACACCAACTCACCAAAAAGCCCTGATGCTGGACGTTGGAGTGGCCCTCGCTGTGCAGCCGCAGATAGATGTGGCCCTCTAGAGGAGAGAGGAAGGGAACCTACACAATGTAACAAACGGGTTAGTCATGACACAAGGAAAAAAATAACAACAGATGTGCATGTCAAAATGCAGAAATATTTAGGCCTGTCACGATAACAACTTTTTGTTGTGTGATATATTGCCCCAGAAATAATTGTGATAAGCCATATTATTGTCATTTTAAAGACCATTTTATGCCACTGAATATATAATCATAATGTAACAGTATAATAATGCAAGAAGGCCAACACACTTCCAAATGACAACAAACTTTTAATTTTTAAGAATATTTAGATCATGGAAATTAAGTATCAAAATATTAGATACCTTACAGAGCCTGAATAAATAGTAAATAAACAATTTCTAACAAAAGTGCAAAGTAACAAGTAGAAAAAAAGAAAAATGCACAAAGAACTTGTATGGAGATTTTTCCATCTACAGATTTTTCCCGGACCTTCGTTTCTCTGTAAATTAAGGGTGCACTGTATTGCTGAAAAACATAATCACTACTCAGCAGTCAGATGTCCGTATGCACAAAGGCACAGATCCCTAAACAATGCCATATCTGCAGATGAAACTTTTTTGTAGAAGCATTTTTTAAATTTGAACTAGCACCTCATGACTACACCGCGCTATGTACGAGAAGCTGCAAAAGACACAGGTGCAAGTGGAATTTACAAAACATGGTGACATTAATTTTTAAGTAAATATAATGGGCGATATATTGCGTCACCAAAAATTATTGAGGTCATGTACATATATTGCGCGATAAGTTGATATATTGATTATTGCGACAGGCCTAGAAATATTATTCAAATTTTTTAGTAATGACTTACATCATCAAATTATATTACAGCTTTAAGACAAAAAGAATAGGCTTTAAAACCGCAATTTCTGAATGGTTCGAATTTACTTCTCAATTAATTGTTAAAAACTATAACATTCAAAGAACATTAATTTGAACTAAACCTTTGATGAAAAGAAAGTTCAAACAAACAGCATTTATTTGACAATCTTTTGCAATATTATAAATGTCTTTACAATCACTTTTGATCAATTAAATGCACCTTTACTAAATAAAGGTGAAGGCTTTACTGAAATTATAAATTAATAAAATACATTTAATTATTAATGAAAAATATAAAAAATGTATATTACATTTTTAAGGTCTGAAAGACAACTGTAAAATTCCATAATATCTCCGTAAAAAAATACAGGACATTAAGTGATTAAAAGAAGGTAATTGTGGGGATATTGGTTTGATTTGTCCCAAAACAAGTGATGAATGCACAGGCCAGAGCATTCATTAATAGCAAATAGATCAACAAAATGCCCAGTATTGTACCTTGTCACACACACACACATACACACACACACACAGAGAAAATGTGCAAAGCCCACTAAATCATAAGTAAAGAATAAGATGGAAAGAGTGACACCTTTTCCTGAAACTCATCCCCAAGGAGTCGCCTGATTTTGCCTTCAAATTTCATCTGAGTGGAGAGAAACAGGAGAGATGGACAGAGACCCAGTTACATTTCCACAACTCCCACCACAGTGCAAACACAACACAGAACAACCACAGATCTCCTGGTTAACCGCTGTGAAAATTAAGAGTGAAAGTGTGTACACAATTTATTGTCTTTAAAAAGAAGATACAGTAAGTGCTCATAAAGGTGAGGACAACAACACACAAACAATTCATCTCCTTTTTCTCTCTAATGTGAACAGTTTTACTGTATCAATACCTTGTCCAGAGGAAACTTGCTCTGTCCCAATGAATTCAAGGTAATCTTGTGAGAGCCTACTAATGTGAAGTTACTAGAGCGTTGGGCACTCAGACCAGGCAGAGTAGCAGCTATAATGGACGGTAAAGAAATATCAGTATCTGATACTACCAATCAACCAATGATTAAGTGAGTAACTGATAAATACTTACATGTTACACTCTGGTTAGATTTCTAGAAAAACAAAAATAGACATTTGGATGAGCTGAAGCTGTCTATCATTCAACAAATTTAAACACACAATGTGCCTCATTCATGATTTTCTGAATTGTTTGTGAAAGTATTCTTATGTGTCATGTTACAATTCAAAAAGTGTGATTTTATGAAAATTATAACAGAAAATACACATATTTGTATAGCTCATGTTTGATAAATGAAGCCCAATGTTGGTAAGGAAACAGAGAAGACAGAGAAGATACATACTGTGATGCTGTGGAGAATCTTCTTGGGTGTCACCTAGAAACACAAACATTTTGCTACAACTGTGCATTGCTAAAAGTAATAAAACACTCAACATATGTGAAGGTGTACAAACCTTTGACTTTGTTGAGCTGCGGAACTGCTGAATATTCATGCTGCAGGTAGTACTCTGAGTACTGGACTATAAAACAGAGGAATACACAATAACACCTAATTATGACCTAGAAAATATAAGCTAAAGCTTGAGGAAAAAAATTATTTTATCTTTTAAACTATTAAAAACGATATTTGGTTGTACACAAACTCTACCTACCAAACTGTAGACCTCAACATCAATCTCAAAATTGGAGCGAATGTCTTGTCTGTGGAAGCAAAACATTCAAACCAGTGTATATCACTACTGTTTTTATTTAAAAACCTTCTCTTAAAAGCACTGCGCAGTTTTAAATGTGCCATAGAATGCATTGATACAATATTTTAAATTGTTCTCTGATATCTACATAGAAGGTATGTGGCTTAGGTAAGGGCAAAAAATCTCCAGAAACGGTTTTACATGTCCATTTACAACCCTATGATTTTTGTCCCTAGAATGAAATGGTCTGTTTTTACATTATTTGGAAGGGTCATGAATAATAATGTTAAGCTCTGCTCTGATTGGCTGTTTCACAGTGCGGCTCAATGTTGATCTCTGCTTTGACTGGCTGTTTCACAGTGCAGCTCATTTCAGTAGCTCACACAGCAGGAAGGAAACTTTCGAGATTTGCGATTGCACGTGCTGTGTAAACTACAGTGGCAGTACTTACCACACATTTTACAAGATCAGATGCTTGTCAGTGGTGCTCAGGATATGTAAATCATTCGCCATCATCCTCAGTCATCTCTCCTTACTCGGTTTATGTGGTAAGTGAAATCTTATGTCCTGTATGTTGGGCGGCCTTTATAGAGACAGCAGCCATAACAAATTGTGTTAGAACATTGACCTTGTGCAATGAAGAGTCATCATCTGCCATTAATAAATATGTAGTAACGCTTACCTGTGCGAGCAGAGCACACAAACTCCACTTTGAGGGGCAGCTGGATGCTGCTGATGCTGACTGTGCCTCTGCAGGGCTGCAGAGGTGCATTCTGGGAGTCTGGCTCACCAGACTCACTCTCTCTCAGCCTGCTGACCTCAGCCAGTAAGGCTGCTCGCTTCTCACCTGCATTAAACAGATGTATAAAAGCCAAATCAGAGCATGCAGTCTCTGTGATTTGCAGGAGGTTCAAATAGAGTAATGTACTTTGCTCGCTAATGTTCCACTTACTGGAGACAAGCAGGAGTTTCTCAGCTTCGGCCTCCTGCTGGGAACCTTTCCCATGTTCCTCGTCACTGCAGCAGCTCAGAGCCTGCAGTGTCTGCGTGATGATTGTCTGCAACTTGGCTGCCTCCTCGTTTAAAGCCTTAAATGGAACAAATAAAATCACTTGCATCAGATCTTGCATGCATGAAGTCTCCTAAAATACCCCAGTAAGTCTCTCAGTATAAGTTTCAAACCTTAATTCTCTCCTTGATGTTTATGGGCTTTTTTGAGCAGGTCTTCTCTTGAACCTGCTTCTGAACTCCAGGGGTCAAGCTCTGAGTAGAGGGGGGATGGATCTTCCTCTGTGAGCGGTAGGCGTCAATGCTGTCAATTGTATGAAAAAACAATTGGGTAAAAAGGTAAATATCAGTGGTTGACCAATATATAGACAGCTGAGTGGCTCTTGATCGATATAATACTGATATGCATAAATATATATATTTATTTTCAAATAAGGATGTATTAAATGGTTCAAAAATGACAGTAAAGACATTTATAAAGTTACAAAATTATTATAATTTTTTTTAAAAATGCTGTTAGTTTGAACTTTCTGTTCATCAATTCAAACATCAATTCAACTTAAATTGCAATAATATTTCACAATCACAATATTACTGTTTTTACTGTATTTCTGATTAAATAAACGGCTGATTTGTCAATCACTAGTAAAAAAAAAAAAAAAAAAGCATGCACTACCAGTACTAAATACCAAGTTGGACAAACAGCGATACAGAATGACAGGGCTCTTGACAAATTATTATTGTTATTATTTAAGTGAGCACACCTGTATAAAGGTTGACCGCAGTCAGCAGGACTAGCTGTCATTTCTTCAGGTGAGGGCGGCTGTACTGATGGCTCAGACACAGTGATTTCAATGTTCTGTAAAAACATTTAGAAACAGACATTTATGGTCTTTTAACTAACTAATACATTTATATCCATGTAATCGATTACACTCTTACACTGTAACTGAAAGGTACATGTATCTGTATATGCGAACTTTCCATTTACACAAGGGAAAACTCAGATGACACTGCCTGGCATTTAACTTCATATGAAAAGTGGCATAATTATGCTAAAAGGCATTTTGATAAAAACATATTTGACAAGCACTTGAATTTCTTTGGTGACATAATATTTAACCATATACACTGAACATACTCAAGTCCTAAAGATATTTCTCTCATTCACTGGCTGTCACCACAAGAACAATTTCAATCTCTAAAAATCAGACCAATACCAGTGGTGTGACAACAGCCTCCACAGATTTGCTGAGAGGAGAGAGGATACAGCTGGGTGGCAGGGTTAGAAAGTCCTCATCAACCATGGGGGTGCTCTCCTGCTTTTCTTCCGTCTCTCCTTCACCATCATCAACAGACTGGAGCTCCTTCTCTTTCTCTGTTGCAGAACTGGCATCAGGAGTTTCTTCACTCTCTTCACACATCTCACTCTGGTCAAGAGGATACTCATTTAATGTGACTGTGACTGGTTCCTGTTTGTCTTCCTTTTCAACTGTGTCCGATTCGGTTTTGTCTTCCTTTTCAGTCTCTGATGAATTGCTCTCATCTTTCTCCACCCCCTCTTCCTGATTTCCATCTTCACCTTCAACTTCCTTATCTGCATGCTGCAGGACGTCTTCAAACATCTTGTCAATTAGAGTGGAAGTGCTCAAAGCCCCAGGTTCTGTTACAGAAACAAATGTGGTAAATATGGTAGCTAAGTAAGATCCAAGAGATTTTAGGAAGCACATTTACCTATAGATGTATAAAGTTCTTCATTGGGGAAACGGATGTCCACAGAACATGGCGATGTGGTGTTCAGACTTTCATCAAATACCTTACTGTCAACCTCACAAGAGCTGAATTCAGATCCCTTTAACTCTTCCTGCAGAACACATAAAAGCTGAAATTAGGTTTTGCCCTATATACACAAATAAAACAGTGCGAAAGACAAAAAAACAGTTCTCCCCAAGTGAGTCTGTGCAAACAAATTACTTTGCCCTAGTGACCATAAGCAAATTATGGATAAACCTCAAAACCAAGGGTGAAGAAGCAGGGCTCCAGACTAGAGACCTGCACTCCCGCGGGAGTACCGCGGGACCCAACGCAACAGGGTGCGGCGCGGGACAACTCTTGATGGGCGAGTGCGGGCGGGAAGAGACTCGTGTGTGTGCGGGATGCGGGAGAATAAAATTATTCACGTGACTCCCGCAAAATAGAAATTATCTAAATAAATTGAGTGCTCACGAATCCTCTCATTTTAGACACCATGAAATATTCATTGTGCATATATTTAGTGTTATAACAGAGATGTCAGCTTTTTGTGATAATAACGGAAGCGTGCTGCTCGCATTTTGCCATGCCAAACCATGCACGCAGCAGCCCATGCTTGCTTTCTGTAAAAAATAACGCTTTTGCGGGCGGGAGCGGGACAAAACATGAATGTCGCGGCCGGGAGCGGGACCAGATAAGATATATTTTTGCGGGAGCGGGACAGAATCTTGCGGGAACGGGACTGAAAAATCCATCCCGCGCAGGTCTCTACTCCAGACTAACATTTGAGAGCAGTGGCACCAGCGCCACTAAGTTCTACAGAATGAAATGTACCATTATTCTTCTAGTATATGGAACGGACCAAGTTCAGTGATTATGTGTGATTTAGTAGCAAATTGAAGAAAAGTTTGTTTTTCGAGGCATGTGCGGGAGTATTAAATTATAGATCATTTAATCATAAAATTACCATTGTTTTTCAATAATAATGTTCATTTCTTGTTTATTTTTCTTTTGTTTGTTTCTACAGATTTGACAGTAAAGCACTAAGCTTGAGTTAAGATGCATACAAAATTTACTTTTATTAACAACAGTAACAGGTGCAAAATCTAATTTTTATATAGAAAATTTATATATTCCACTCTTATGAAATGTACCATTATTCTTCTAGTATATGGAACGGACCAAGTTCAGTGATTATGTGTGATTTAGTAGCAAATTGAAGAAAAGTTTGTGTACTTCAAGACACTTTGTGACTTTCTTACTTCATACACAAAAAAGTGTAAAATTCTGACAAAATCTGATTTCTTGATGAGTAGAAATTAAAGTAGTGCTGGGCGGTTTGACCAAGAATTTATATCACGGTATTTTTCAAAATTATACCGATTATACCGGTTAACACATGACGGTATTTTTTTTTT